CTTGACGGTGCCGTCGTCCGACGCCGACGCCACGAGCTGGCCGTCCGGCGAGAACGCGACGGCCAAAACCGAATCGGTATGGCCCGTTAGCGTTTGTTTCTCTTCGCCCGTGCCGGCGTGCCATAGCTTGACGGTGCGGTCGCCCGACGCCGACGCTACGAGCTGGCCGTCCGGCGAGAACGCGACGGCCAAAACCGAATCGGTATGGCCCGTTAGCGTCTGTTTCTTTTCGCCCGTGCCGGCGTGCCATAACTTGACGGTGTGGTCGTGCGACGCCGACGCTACGAGCTGGCCGTCCGGCGAAAAGGCGACCGCGTAAACCCAGTCGGTATGGCCCGTCAGCGTTTGCACGAGCGGGCTCCAATGCGTGCATGGCGTTGGCTGGATCGTTACCCATTTGGGTTTTTCTTTCCGGAATAGTTGCCGGCATATACTTTTAGTCGGACTAAATAAGAGCGCTGACGCGTATGCTTGAAGCGGGGCGTTTTTGATAATAAATCCGTTGGAGCGGAGGAACCGGTGCGCGTCTTGTGTCAACAACAGCAGTTCCGAATCGGTAGTGATTGTCTGTAGCACGGTTAGCAGGAACCTAGGTGGCGGGAGCTGAAGACTTGCTTTGAGCAGCCTTTCCAGCCTTGCTACGGCGAGGACGCCGTCCGAGATGGCGCCACACAGACTTAGCGCCTCGATCCAGTAGAGGAAGTACTGCTGCAGGAAATTGTGGACATCGCTGTTATCGCGGAGATGACCTTGGCACTGCAAGTATCTGTTAAGTACAGTCCCAACTTTCAGATACTGCGAGCAGTCGTGGATAAAAGCTCCCGCAGATCTACCTCTTGACATCCCGAGAACTTTGAAAAGATGGAAAAGAAACAACAACACCAGGAAGGACACCGTAGGGACACCGTCGTACGCGTTGCAAAAGTGGTCTATCCAGTAGACGCACGAGTACCTTAGCGCAGCCAACGGGTCTGGGTTGGGCACCTTGACGTCGTTAATCAAGGTACCGAGGTGCCGTAGGCCGTAGATATCGTATCGAAGGACTGACAAGGCGTTGAGCGACCGCCGGAACATAACATAGTGGGCCGCCGCGGGACCGGATGGGAAGATCGTCCAGGTGGCCTTATCGGCTAGGTATTCCTTAGCAGATTGATGAACGAAGTAGACTGTTTTGCCGCGAACTGTAAGGAAGGAGCCGCTTGTGTTGACCACTTCCCGAATATATTCGTCCTCGCCGGAAATATCGTCTGGTAGGCCTGACACAACGCCGAGCTCAGGTAGGCGAAGAGGCCGGTAGGCTAGCGTGACGGCTGAGAGGACGAGCCGGCAGTAGTCCTGCTCGCTTCGTCGAAGCTGGCGTATCTGCTGTATCATACGAGAGTACAGTTCGTCAAGGCCTGTCGGCACCTCATCAACCATCCGCCGCACCTCCCAGGGCTTTGCTCGTTTGAGTTCCTGGACGACGAGGGCCACCCAGAGGAACGTGCCGTCGGCCTTCTGGCGGAGGACCTCCCGAACGTGGTCCTGTAGTGGGGATTTGATATGCGCCGTCTTGCTGTTAATGTAGGTGTGGACAGCCAGGGACACAGCCTTGGCGTTGTCCGGTTGCTCAAGCTCGAGGGTTGAATGTGGGTAGTCGAGTTGTCCGGACAGTTCGACGTTATTCCGGCTTGATACGATCCACCGGACGCCGGACGACGCGTTCTGGCGCACGAGGTCCACCAGCTTGTCACGGCCAATCGTACACTCGTCGAGCGCGTCAATAATCAGATCCGTCTTTGGCAGTTTCCCGTCGCGGAGGATGTTCACCAAAATGCCAGACAACACATTCCATGCTCCTGCATCCTGGAAACGCGGCTGGCCCGAATCGTCAAACTTGTCCCGGAGATGCGAAAGGAGCGAATCGCGTTGCTTCACGAGCATATAGATAAGGCCGCGTAGGACGGCTGTAGCGTTGTTAAGGGACGCATCGGTAGCTTGGCAGAAGAAGTAGGAAAGCAGTGTTGTAGCCTCTGGGTTTCGTAACTTCGTCTCTCCTTCAAGCTCGTCGATGATGGTGCAGAGGAGCATGGTCTTGCCCTTGCCGGGATCGCCCTTGATCCGGAGCAGCTGGCTGTCCCGGTCGCGCCACTGCTGGAAGTCGGCATGGTGCAGGATCCAGCTGGACGCGTCCTTGAGCAGGCCGCCTTTGGTTTCCTCGATGCGCGTCTTGACCTCGTGCGGGTCGACTTCTGCCAGGTACTTGGGGCAGTGGTTGCTTTGTGCGTCTGTATGTCGGACAGTTTTGTGTTAGATACGAAGTCGCGAAGACGATTTGCAGTTAACGTACATTCGACATGCGTATGATGATGAGTCTCGTATTTGCTGGACGATCATGTGTCAGCGATACCGTTTTGTGGTGATGCAGATCGAGATTAGTTCATACTTGTGATCCCCGGTGCCTTGATGCTGTATAATGTTTTGACGCTGGCCGTTCATGGCCTGACGCATCTCAGGCGTTGCCATGCTGTCTCTCCCGCACGTCGAGCAGATGCAACGGTTTCACTAAACGGCAACGCCTGCGAATCGGCGACGCGTTAATATGGGATGACGGCCGTCGCTATGAGGGAACTGAGATGTCTTCTGGCTCGAGACGGTGGGGGAACTTGGGAGGGGCGTCAGGAGACCAATGCCGCTGTAGGCGCAGCTGGGAGGCCCACCACCTGAAATTTCGCATTGTCCGATTCGGCGCTGGGTATTGGTATGCTCTAGCCAAAGTGGCGGTTGCGGCCTGATGCAGCCCGGCGAATCACATCGGCTGCTTGTGTAGAACAAGTTGGCGAGGTGTCACGCCTCTTTAGCTACAGGGCCGGACCAGACGCAGCGGAAGAGAACTGGGAACGCTGATCCCACCATTCTCGCTGCCGCATCATTGCGCGGCGCGAAAAGGGCCAATCCTGTTTGCCTAGTACACTGAGCAGAAAGAGGCACCGTGATAATGTGCCGACGTCCCTTTTTGCAGATGCCGCCGTCACGTAGATCAATGGACCAGGGAGTGGGGCGCGAAGGCCGCGGGGAGCGATTCAGCCCTGGGGACCACAAATGCATGGGGCGGGCGCGCCAGCAGGGTCACGCTGCATCGCGACTTGCCTGCGCCCTTTAAAAATTTGATCCCCTACGAGGTATTTACATCTTTTCACGCACGGGCTGCATGACTCTGCCAAAACAAATCCCCGGGGAGAAAAAAAACCTCTATAGAACTTGGTCGCAGCCAAGGGATCAAACCCGGCGATGCTGACGTTCAAATTCCCCGTAGCTAAATACCCTAGCTAAATAACACCATACGACCAGCCAGGTATCACTGGTCCGGTTCCACGTTGCCTACGCCCGCCAGGGCAGTGGCATGTACTCGCAGTCACCGACCACCTAACGTCATTTGCTATTCCGAGCCAGCCCAACATGCATTGTATACTGGCCGCTCTGGTGGTTTCCTATGTTTTGTGTAGTGCCCCCCCTTATGTTATAGGTCGTATCGTTGTTCTGCGGACATATTAGCGACATGCACCGAACGACGGGTTCAATAAGCGTTCACGTGCCTCTTGTTTAAGGATATTCTGCACGGCAGAGCGGATGACGGAATCATGGTCGGAAGCGGCGCCCAACTCCTTCACAATCTCAAGGATCTCCACTAGTTCAGCCTTGCCGAGCTCCCCCTGCTTGTCCGCGGGTGGGTCATAGATGCTGTACAGGTTGTCGATATGGCCGTTAATGTCTTTGATAAAATGCTCGAGGTGCTTCTTCTGGTAAAAGGCAAACTTGATACGCTGCGCGACTGAAACCTTGTTTTTGCGGCCGTTGACGATGCCCTGCATTTTCACATGGAGGTAGCGGTGCATGGGGTTCCACCGCTCGCTGGCCGGGTCGAATGGGCGAATCTCGTTCTGTGTGGGCTCGTCTTCGCTCTTGCTATTGCGCTCGCTGTCGCAGAGCTTCTGGCACTCTTTGAAAAGGTCTGCTACCGCCAGGAATGTCTGGATCGCCTGCTGCTCCTGCTCGTCGTCGAGCTCGAACGAGCCGGAGCCTTTCATCGAGTCTTCGTCTTCAACTCCCGGGCCTGCGATTCCGACCGCTTTGCCCCAGCGCGTCAGCCTCAGCTGCGCATTGTCGAGCTTTACCAGCAGCGACTGCAGCCGTGGAGCCGCCTGCTTGGCAACGAGGATGTAGTCGAACCACGTTATGGCTGTGTTGAAAAGGCCGGCGAGCCCAGACGCCGCTTGGATGACCTCGGCGCCTGCCATCTGGGCTAGGCCATGTACTGGTGTCAGCAAAAGAAGATGAACGTAGGAGGTTTCTGCCGTAGGAGGTTTCTGAAGGAGCACAACACGACTTTTCCGCCTGCTTGCAGTGTATTTAGACCTCTGGGCGTAGGTCGCCGGCAGTGTTAGGTTCCTGAGGAGGGGCTCGCTGCGAAATAAATAAAGCTAGAAGTGATGTAGCTCAGGCGACTGCGCGCACTGTGGACACAGTAGAAAGAATAACTGGGCGTGCCAGGTACTGATCGTCTCCACTACGCCCCCGTGGTACTGCAAAATCCAGGTCTTTCGCGACAAATACCTATGAGCCAGGTACCTGGTGGAGCCAGGTAAAAATAAGCGCTGTAGATTAGTGCTGTGCATTTCTCCGCCCTCTGGCAATTCGTCGAGCTGCGGCAACCGGCTCTTCCCGCCGTCTTCGCCCGGCCTGGCACATCAGCAATGTGACACGCGTTAACGAGTTGCGTGTTTTTTTGTCTCTGCAGCTTTCATCTTGCGCTCGCCTTTGGCCAGCCTGTCACATCAACGAATTGACGCTTACTGTGCATGGCATAATGCAAGAGCAGCTTCGCCGCCGGGTCGCACGTGTGCACGTGTTAATAAGTTGCATATGGTTTCTGCAGTTTCGCTCGAATGTTGCCAGCCGCATCAGGCATCAACGGCCCCACCTGATAGACCGCTGGCTACGAATAGCCGTGCATTCGAGAATCTAGGAAACATTTATCGCCGCACCCCGCGTATCGGAGAGCGGTCCAACAATGGCATCGACTTTGTTCCACCATGCAGCCTGCTTCACCTGAATGAAAGCAGAAGTCGGTTTCGCGCTACGGAGCCAAATGGCCGAAAACAGACGTTGCTTCTGAAGCAGAGATAGGCCGGCGGGCATACCACGCTGTTAGATAGCTAACGCCACGACGCACTCGAGTACCAATCATTTCCTGCTATTGGCCGCCGTATTGGCAGCCACAAAGCAATGCAAGCCAGTCACATCCGTCACAGCCTGCCCTCGCGCTGTCACAACCCTCCAGGACGTCGACACGTACGAATATAGGTGCGCAAAATCGCAGGTAGAAAGCTGGGATCATCAACCCTTTATGGTACCTCTGTTCTGCTACGTCTGTCGAGGAAAGAGTGTGGCCGAGCGGCCTCCACACCACGCGCGGAGATCCGACCGGTCCGGAAGCGAGAGCCGCGGAACGGCGTGGAACTTGAGACCGACTCCTCTGCCAATGAGCCGCCGTCCGCCCGCATGCAAAGCCATGGCCCGATGTCTGCATGGCCCCGTGCGATTCGCCAAGCAGCCACACCTCGTGGCCGAATTATTGCAAGGAGCCCCGCGCAATTGTGGACTGCCACATTCCATAATCAAGCAAGCCACGTTACACATCACATCGCACCCACAGCCATTGACCTCTACCTATTAGCTGAGGGCTGCAAAAGTAACACCGTAGTCGCGCCGGTAATCTTTCTGCTGCAAAAATGAGCAGCGGCGCGAAACGCGGCAACTGATGAAATATTCCGAACACCTTGTCCAGTCCGATACGACAGACCAACACAGCGACTGGTCGCGTCGAGCCCGGAGAAACAGAACTGTTCCAGCAGTTTTTCGGTCCAATAGTCCTAACCACGTCGACGGAGGCAGGCGTGCCAAGCCGACGTTTGGGTGTACGGCGCCCATGCTCCACCCCAGATTGGCCGAAAAATTGCCGTGCGCATGAAATGTTCAGCTTCTGCTTACTCCCAGCCAGTAGGGGTCAGCCACGAGCTGCGTGTGCAAACGACTGCAGCTCCTGGCTGATAACGAAGTTTTACCTACGGCATGGAATTAATTTTGCCGAGCCGATATTGCCGCCGAAGATACAGCCAAGAATGGGCCCGACACCCTCAAAACCTTTGTCCCTGGTGGAAGCCTGCTCCGCTTCGGAGTTCGGCGTGCACACTGCCAGAAACCAGTTCTCTTGGGAGACGAATCAGAAGCTTTGACAGCGTAAAAGTGGCTGAGCCGAATTGAAAGCACTAAATGGCCACGTTTAAACCCCGTCCGGACTGCTATGGCTGTCGCATTGATTCGTAGCTGCGCAATAAGTGTCACACGAGGACTACCCCTGGGACCGATGTAGGTCGAGGGAGGATCGCCGTGGGCCAAGAAGAAATTGATGCCTGAATGTGCCAAGGCCCAACAGATGTTACGGCGTGGCGCGCCCTGACGTGCACTGCAGCCAGTCCTGATTGTTCTGGCTTTTTAGCAGAGATGGGAGGGGTCTCTCTGTCTAACCGCCGTGACAACAGACCGAAGGCTGCATAAGAGTGAGGGACTTGCATTTCCAGCGAGGTCGCGTTAGCCGCCGGTCATGTACCTTGTAGCTACGTACCTCTGAACGGACCACAGGGAGGCCTATATAGAGAGCCGACCTCTTGAGAGGGATCCTCGAGATTCTGCTTACTCAAGCACCTCTTGAGCCCCTTGAAAGATTATTATACGCATAATAGAAGTCACCCTTCCAAGCCGAC